TTAGTTTAAACATTCTGTACATTTATTTAACACTACCACCGGAACTCTGGTAGTGTAGTGGTTGCAAGTCAGGCTGCTAATCTCAAGGTCAACAGTTCAAAATTACCAGGAGCTATGGGGGAGAAAGATAAGGCTTTCTGTTCCTTTAAAGATTTACAGTCTCAGAAACTCTACGCAGTGTCACCATGAGTCAGAACAGACTCCACGGCATATAACCACCACTATTTAGTAAATATGCATTCTTTACTTTGTCCATTTTGTAGGATGAAATAAGCCACATGTTTAAATCCTTTTGGTTTTCTGTGACTTATATCTCCAACTGATCTTTCCAATTACTTGTAATAAACATTGTTCAGTGAATCTGGAATGTTTTCAGTACAGGGTCATTGGGCCATACCAGTTTTCCTATCTACTAATACTTTTGGAATGAGAACAAAACTATGTCATTGAGATTGATAAGACAAAAAATAAACAAAAACAGATATAAATATACATATTATGACTTGTAACAAATTCCTCAAAATTGGGAATATTTTCACTAGGGACATCTTAGAAATACCATTAGAATATAAATACCTAACAATTTATGTTATTCATGGGCCATAATTCCAATTATATCAGAATAACACAAATAAAACCAACATAATTAAAAACCAATCCAGAAATGAAATCCAAATATTTTTTTTCAGTTTTTCATCAAGGAAAAGAAACCGGGAAGTTAAAATAATTTGTGGTTCATGACTGTAAGATTCCCCTTTCTTGAAACTTAAACAAAAACATAGAAGGCATGGGGGAGGGAAGGAAATGATCAATACATCACTTACTTCCTTGTATCCAAAGATTATACGTCCATCAGTGAGTAGGGTTGCCTGGAACGTGAAACTTCCCAGGTTGTAATTGTCTTGGAGATGTACATGATCCCACTGGACAACAAGTGCGGTGCCTAAAAAACCCCATTGGAAAAAAAAAAACAAAAAAAACATGCACTGAGAAAAACATACCAACCAATTCTGGTAAGAGTCTCCTAAAAAACTATCTGACCTTCAGACTTAGGAGGTGTGCTATTTGGAATTTATGTGGTTAATTGGAATTTTGTTATTGAAACAGCATTTGAGTTATTTTTCAAAGAACTGAATATTCTCCTTTTGGAAAACTCTAACCTCATACTGAGGTTAACATTGAGCCCAGTGTGCAGGAATGTTGCCTTAGGAATTTCATTTTTTGTTAACGGATACTGTCTGCTTAAATTTCCAAGGCCACTTAACAAATGGAGCCCAATGAACTGAATGAACTTCAAACACATTTGACAAATTCTGAGAGAGAAAGTAACACCTTCAGATAAAAAAAACAAAACAAAACAAAAATACTAGAATGCCTTATAGAAGACCTGGAAATACCTGTTTCACCATTAAAATCACACATTTCCACACTGAAGACATTCCTTTTAGTACTAATGGAATTTTCTTCTTCGATTCACAATGCCTACATTTTTGCCTTTGTTGTATGGTTTCCATGAGGCTGAAAGGTAGCTTAATGGGCCCCAGGCTAAGATTTCTGAAGCCCATGGAGGTCTACAGGAATGAATTTTCAGCTCCATATATTATATTCTGATGACTCCGTTACTGTTACTAGAAAACACAGTTTCTACTAGAAAACTGCTAACATGCAACAGAAACTGAAACGTAACTTCATAGCTACCAACTAGGATTCATATTTTTGTTTTAACTAGTATTCTGCATTTTTTTGGAAGAAAACAAATAAGCAGTTAAAAACTTTTGCTTAAGCTAAAAATATTACTTCATGTTTGCTTATAAAAAAAATGAAGATACCAAAAAATAGTACTGAAACGAAAACTCTCAGAATTAAGAAAAAAGTACTTGTCGCCTAGGCTCGAAAAGGAAAAGACTCTGATTCAAAAAAAAAAAAAAAAGATTGCATTTGTTGCTGTTAAGTGCCCTCTAGTTGATTCCGACCTATAGCAACCCTGTTTAGGGTTTCCAAGGAGCAGGGGCTCTGGTAGCATAGTGGTTAAGAATCGGGCTGCGAACAACAAGGTCAGCCGTTCTAAACTAGCAGCTGTTCCGCGGAAGAAAGATGAGGCTTTCTGCTCCCATATAAAGATTTACAGCATCAAAACCCTGTACAGGGTTGCTATGAATCAGAACCAACTCCACGGAACACAACAATAACAACAACAAGGCGCCGCCGACCTTGTAGGTCAAATGACTGCAGTATGATGCATTAGCCCACAGCTCCATACCAGGACTCCAAGATTGAGTAGCGGAACTTGTTTTAAGCACTGATTTTTGTCCTAATAGTGATACTCTTGATAATTTTAAATAGACCTTTGGTTAGCAGTCAAGAGCTTAATTAAGCACTGAACCATCATGATTCCTCAAAAGGTGTTAACGTGTAGAAATGTATTTCTTTTGAGATAAAAACTTCAGCAGCCAAGGAGTTTGGTTCTTATTTTACCTCGCTGCTTTCAGTCACAGTAAACATATTACACATGCCCTTCTTATGGGCATGTCCTGGTCTATACTACTTTTTTCTTTGCTTTAAATTGGAAAAGGCAAGAGTGCAATAATAACCAGGATCAGGAAATTTGCAGTAACATAGTGGTACATGACTTCTAATCATAAAATGTCTCTAAATTTAACTTCTTTTTCTTTCACACATGTCTACAAACCTCAAGATCCAGTCTTCTCCTTATTTGCTAATTCCTATCTGGAGTCAGTTCTGACTCACAGCGATCCTATACTGGGTTTCCAAGGCTGTAAATCTTTATGGGACTAGAAAGCCTCATCTTTCTCCCAATCAGATACTAGTGTTGTTCTTACTGTTGATGAGTGCCCTACAAACAGAGTTGGTTCCAATTCATAAAAACCCTGCACAGGGTTTCCAAGGACTGGCTAGTAGGCTTGAAGTGCTGACTGTGTGGTTAGCAGTCCAGTACTTATCCTCTAACACCACACTAATAGTGCAAAGAAAACCCTTAATTACAGTGAAGACGATCTGGACTTGTCCTAGCTCTAATCTCAGCTATGGTGATCCTGGACACACTGAACCTGCATGAACCTGTTTCTCACCTATAAAATGGGAGCACTGATTTTTGCCTTCAAGGGATTTTTGCACTTAATACAAAATTAATACTAGAGCATTTAATGAATCAATAATATAAGACAATAATACCTTCAGCTCTTTATTTAAAAGAGAGGTACAAACAAATTAAGCCTACATAAAAAATTTACGCAAATCCTGCTAATCCAAATGCGACTCTGTTTTTAAATATAAAATTTTATATTACATAGTAGCATAGCCGGCCCAAGGTTTGTTGACGTAAACAATTCTATGTAGTAACAGGGAGTCCCTGGGTAGTAGAAACAGATGACATGCTCAGCTGGTAACCTAACAACTGGAAAGTTTGTCTCTAACCCAAAGGAAACTTAGAAGAAAGGTTTGGAAAGCTACTTCTGAAAAATTACCCTTTGAAAGCCCTATGAAGCAGAATTCTATTCTGACAGTCATGGGTTTCCCAGAGTTGGAATCCACTCGATAACAACTTGCAAAAATGATAAACATGTTGTACTAACTCAGAGATAATTTAGTGTAAATGTTATCATTAAACTGAAAATTTATCTAAATACCTTTACTGTTTTTAAAGTAATATTTCAAATTTTATTTTTTAAATTAAAGATTGCTGAAACCAAAAACCTTATGGTAGTAGGTTAGCAGGAGTAACTTTTAAAGATGCCATGTTTACATTTATTTATTTATTTCTCTAATCAAGCCCTCACTCTCTGGGAAATGCCTAATTTTGGGAAAAATTAGGTAAATTGAGCAAGAGGCACTTTCCTTGTACAACTATGATTCATGGGAATAGCTTGTCAAGAGAAAACCAGGGCTAAAGACATTTATTCTGCATCTCCAAAAAACCTAGGTTAGTGTGGGCCATGCTGACTTATGATTGGCAGTTATATACTTTATCTACAGGATAACCGAACCAAAAACCAAACCTAGTGCCATTGGTTGATTATGGCTGGAATATTTGAACTGCTGACCTTGAATGGTGGGATAAGCTGTTAGTGTTTATCCTACAGTGCCTATCAGGGTTCTGGGGATAGGCACAAAAATATAGTGTTTCACATGGAGGGGACTGTAATCATGGCAATGAAACGATATTTGATAGGATGAATGTAAAGCTAATGTTCTCCCATGTAAACTATCACATAATTCACAATAAAACATTAATATATTTTATATCTAT